TAATTTGGGCCACACATCAAATTGGACATTTTGTATTTCAGTAAATTTTGTTTGAAGTTTTGTTTTTTCCCCGACTCGCCCGTTATGTACATCGTCTGTGCAGTTAAAACGTACATCGAAATAGACTTAAGAAAAATCAGATAAAACTTGACAGGCCGTATATTTCTCCTTAAAGAATCCTAAGAAGTAACCAACCGCAGAAATTTTTATTACACCGAGCAGGGTTTCCCTACTTTGGTAAAGAAAAACAAGTACCCCCCAAGTATCATTAAGGCCTTACCCCCACTGGAAAGAGAAAACTACACGGGACTTGCATAGTTTACCTCCTTTGGTAAAGAAGCACAAGTATCATCAAGGCCATACCCTGTGTGCCACACCCCACCAGCAGGCCGTGGAGAATATAGCGAGATTCGTGCGCTAAGCCCAACACTAATTTTTAAAAAACACAGACATGTCTGGCACTAGCGAAATGAAAGATTCAGCCTCACCACTCCTGCAGGAGCAGGAGGAGACAGTTATGCGGCCTCCGGGGGCTCCCAAGAAGCAGATTCCTACGAGGCGTAGACGGGTACTTTTGATGCAGCCGTCTGGAGACCTGAGAGTTACCTGGGAGCTGCCCAACGGGGATAAAGTGGTCTGCCTCTTTGACAATGTTGCGGAGGAACTACGCATCTTTCAGGTCACCGGAGATGCCGCAGACCCGGGGAAAGATGACCCGCATCTGGCCTGTTTTTCTGAAATGGAATGGGGAAACTTGAAGACTCTGGTTATCCCGATGATGAAGGAGAGCACCGACCCCGACTTTCAGACAGAGACCGCTAGAATGGAGATGCACTATAGAGATGCTGCCAGTGGTAAACATCGGAGCACCTTTATGAAGTGGGACGCGACCGGGGAGCTGGACAAGAGAATGCTGAATATATGGCAGCTGCCTAAATGCGACTGTTGTGGAATGAGAATTCCGTACATGATTTGGATGCGGCTGATTGAAGAAAAGAGCGATTACTTCCAAGCGCTGTTCAATGACAGTCGGGCACGTAAGGAGATGCAAAAACCTACGCCGTAAGGATCACCCCCCACCCCCCTCCCCTCACCCTCCGCCTGTATATAAGTGGACGCCTTTACAAGCCCTTTCACAAACATCACCATCATCATGGCAGCAGCAAATTACAGCAACAAAGTGTTCTCCGACGACGACGAAAGCGGGGAGAAT